GAGGGGAGGCAGATAAGTACCTGTCCGAAGCTAGTCTGTGAGCGCTGACTGTCCACAATGACATGAGCAGCAACAAGAGTCAGGGAGTCTTCAGAAGGAGGGACAGAAACAGAGGGGGCGGAGCAGCTGTTTTGGCGAGCCCCCAGGACAAGATCCCTAAGCCCTGGTCCTTGGCCCTTGGGTGTCCACCGCAGGTGAGGTGGGCTCACCCTGGGCTCAGGATGGGGGCCTGACACAGAGCCAGGCTTCTACCTCTACCTGAGTGGGTTAGGAGCCCCCAAGAGTGCTGGCCCTCCCATGCCTCCTTCTTACAAGGCCGTGTCTGGGCTCGGAGTGGCAGTGAACTCGGAGGTCACACTTCAGGGAAGCACTGGCCACACGGGCACCTGGTTATTGAAGAAGGGCAGAAAGGCATGGGGGAATGTTCTGGAGGAGCCACATTGCATTTCAAGGGCCCAGCAGGCCGGAAAAGACTGTGAAGATCTCAGGCCAGACTCAGAGGGGCCTGCAAAGACTCCTGCACGGCTGGCATAACAGCCCTGCTTTTCCCACTGCTGACGGTGCTGGGGGCCACTCTCCAGGAAACCTCGGAAGGTTGGGCAGGCCGACAGAACAAAGTGCCCAAGAGAGGTCAGCTCAGAGACGAACCTGCCTGCCCTGGGCCCCCGGTGCTGCCCACAGACCCTCCTCTCTCAGAGTTAAGTACGCTCTGGCCAGGCAGGAAGCAGTGAGGAAAAGATGATGTCAGGAAGACACAGGGACAGAAGGGGGAGGCGGGAGCCTACTTAACCAGCAGGAGGACACACCTGTGTGGTCCACAGTCTTCCTTCCTATCTCCCTCCCTCACCTGCTGTGTGGTCCACAGTCTTCCTTCCTACCTCCCTCCCTCACCTGCTGTGGTCCACAGTCTTCCTTCCTATCTCCCTCTCCTTCCGTTTGGCCTTTCGACCTTTGTCTCAGTGATGGCTGGTGACAGGAGGCCAAGGAGCGGGGCGGACAGAGCGAGCCTCTCCCGGGGCAGGGTCCTAGAAGGGCCTGTGTGCTGCAGCATAGAAGCCTGGCCTGGCTCTCAGAGGATCACGGCCAGCGGCTCCACACGCTGTCCCCCTTTAAACTGAAGTCCTCAACAGGACACACATGACTTTCTTACCCGGAAGATTTTTAAACACAGAAGACAGTTATTATGGGTATTTCTGAAGTTCTTCTTCTGGGTCTTCTGAAAGTTTTGCTTCTCCAGAATCATTTTGGAAGCCAAGATGGTAAAGAAAATATTTCAACAGACTCCTAGCATCCAGCTATATCTCTTGGTGACAGTAAATATCAGTGAGCCAAGAAAGAATAGGCATGGAGGATGGTAGCTTTTATAACATCAGTGTTGTAATGTCTGGAGGACTGGAAACCCTCATGATTATTAATAGATTCCCAATAATACGTTGGTCAAGGGTAAAGTGAATATGGACCCAACTCAGAGCTTCCAAGATTTCGCACCACTAGGGATCAGAATGGAGAAAATGCAAGCCCAAGAAGGGTCACAGTGGGAACAGCGGTGGGAATCAAGGGTGGCAGGGGAAGGACTGGTGCTGGAGGGATGGGAGTTTGGGGAGAGGTGGGAGTCGGGCAGCCAGCACGGGCAAGGCTGCAGCGAGGACAGGGCAGACGGCCGGGGGTACAAGTGATGGAGGAGAATCCAGGGGCAGGAAGAGGACAGCAGCACCACATCTGAGAGGTGTATCTCAGGGGGCCCATCACTCAAACACTCACCCGTGCCACCAAGGGGCAGGCATACTGCAAGGCATGAGGGGGCCGGCTGTCCAAGCCCGGGGGGTGGCTGCACCTAGCTTTCCACATTGTTCTGGCCTCACAGTAGCTCATCATTTCCCTGAACACCTTCTTCTACAAAACCGGTCTTAATGTCCCAGACGCCACATGTCTGGGTAGCTGTTCAAGTCTCCTAGAATCATAGTGCATGCCAGGAAGGGAAGGGGGTCTGTGGACTGGGGGCTAAGCAGACCCAGACAAAGATTGTGAAAAGGAGGGTGGGCACCTCCCAGGAACACGAGCAGGAACACATCTGGGGACAAGCGGGGAAAGAGCGGTCAATGCTGGGCCCGAGCCCAGAGGGCAGCACCCAGGAGGGAGTAGCAGGTTTTGACTGAGGGGCAGGATGCGCGAAGGGCTGGCTGTTGTCACCCCTCCAGCCGCTCTCCCTGGACCTCAGTCCTGAGAGTTTACACTTGAGACAAGCTTCTACTCCTCACCTTCAGGTAGGTCCCTCACTGACCTTCATCTCCCTGAAATCTTAACGGGCCTTCAGACCACAACTCAAGCACCCCCTCCTGACACCACCCTGCCTCCACTGCCCACAGCCATCCCCAGACGTCTGTGACTCTCACTGCTGCCCACGCCCTGCCTGAATCGGAGTCTCCTTTCCGCTTGACTCACTCTGCCTTCTCCCTTGCATGGGCTTCTCAAGGACGACGGGCCGTCCTGCTTGTGCTGGATCCTTCTGGCTGCCTGACCCACACTGGGAGCGGCTCCGTTCTTACCAAAACAAACCCTCCGTGGGATCCCAGGAAAAGTGAATAAGAATGCTTCTTTAGCACCTCCTTCATTTTAAACTGATCAGTGCAGGTTCACTGCTCTACAATTCCCTTGGCAAGGTTTTCAATCTTCCTGGTCACTGGGCAAAGAACTTCAGTTTTGGCACCTGCTATTTTCCTATGAGGCAGCTCTTGGGAATTCCATGCTGGACTGATGACACGAGTCCAGGGATGAAGGAACAAAGACATTTGGCAATAAAGCGCTGCTCCAAGAGCACATCAAAGCCCTCTGTCTGGGGCTCATCTCAAAATGTAAGCAGAGAATATACATGAAAAACATACTGGTATTATGGCTAAATCATTTCTCCGGGCTTTCTGCATTTCAGATGTCAAGTACTCCATATATTTAGGCCATTACTAACATCTCTGGAGGCTCCGCTTCAAGTGAAGTAAAGCAACCTTCTTAGCTCGCTCCCCTCGGGCCCCTTTGTGGAGCTGGCGCTGAGATGCAGCATGCTGTAAGACTCCTGTGTGCTGAGGGGGAAACTATGACACACTCATACCCCAGCTTAATTAAAATGTCCTCGAATTCTTCTTAATTCTATAGTATACAGTCCAGTTCATTCAGTCTTCTCCCCAAACTACTCAAAAGGGATGTTGTAGACATTCTTAGGAAAACTTACACTTACTTTCTATTCACAGAGGGGAGGGGGGGAAAAAAAACACGTCAAGACCTAGGATTGTCTCAAGGCCAAGTTTTGCAAGATCTGTGAAAAGAGCTGCTGGAGGTGGCTGCTGAGGAAACAGAGGGCGCCTGTGCACCTGAGCCGGGGAGGGATGGGGAGTGGTCCTGCCTCACCCGGCGAGGTCTGGGCACTAAAGGGAAGACTGCATCCCGAGGTCCCCTCAATGGGGAGGACCAGCTTCACCTGGGTGCTGGGTGGCTCTTAAATATGGAGACCGGACAAGACGACACTGGGAGCCCACACTTGGCGAGGGCCCTGACGTCACCAGGTCAACCTGGTCACTCAAGAGGGCAAAGGGAGTCCAGGCAGGTGAAGACATCTGCCCAGGCACTCATGCACAGGACCAGAACAAGCCAAGACTAGAACGCAGAGCTCTTAAGACAAGAGCAATAATGACAGACGTTCTAAGCTTACTACATGCCTGGAAGTTTCCTGTGATTTTACTTAGTCCTCCCATTCACAGAAGAGGAGGCAAGGAAAAGTGCCACCCCAGAGAACTGAACTTGAGGCCTGGGAGGATGTGAGTCACCTCGGGATGGGTCCACCAAGCTCCCCTGGAGAGCCCTTTCCCAAGCCCTGACACCCAGGGTGTCACTGGATAGAGTTAGCAGGAGGCGGGGGTGGTCAGGTTCTTGAGCAGATGCAGATCCCAGAAGAAGACAGCAGACCTGTGTGGCCTCCAAGGCATCAGCGTCTCCGTGTCTGTAGACACCGCGCCAGCCCTCCTCCTGCCGCCCCACCTCCACAGGGTGACCCGTGGAAGGCCTTGCCCAGTGAAGGTTGAGTCCACTCTCCTCCCCAGGCTGCACTGCCTGGGGCCTGACCCAGAGGACGCATGCCAGCCCTACGTCGAGATCTTATGATGCCTCCAAGTTCCCATCTGTCTTCCTGGATCCCAGCCGACTGCCCTGTGAACAAGTCCAGGCTGGCCTGATGTAGTGGACGGGTCAGGAGGGTCACTGCCAGACTAGTCCCCACTGGAGTGCCAGGGATGTGGGCGAGTCTAGCTTTTGGCAGCCAGGCCTGCCCCGATCAGCACAGCTGTGCTGCTAAGCTGTGTCCTAGGCAAGGCTTCCCTGGTGGCTCAGCTGATAAAGAATCCGCCTGCAATGTGGGAGACCTGGGTTCAATCCCTGGGTTGGGAAGATACCCTGGAAAAGGGAAAGGCTACCCACTCCAGTATTCTGGCCTGGATAATTTCATGGACTGTAGAGTCCATGGGGTCACAAACAATCACACAACTGAGCAACTTTCACTTTCCGGCAAGGACAAATGGTTACTGCTCTTTAAGTCACAGGTTTTGGGGTGATTTGTTACGTAGCAAGAGGTAGCAAAAGCTAATTGACGCAGCTCCTTTAACTCCAGCTCTATCATACTGGGTACAGCCTGCTCTGCTTCCTAAGTGAGGAATATTCCTTTTTAAGCACAGAACACTACACAGCTGACTCAATACCCAGTAGGAGAACAGAATAAAAAGGCCAAGACATCTCTGCCAGCTTACGCCTAAGTGATGATGCTCTGAGCGTGGCTGCTAACAGTCCCACCCCAAGCCGCCCCAGCCACTCACACCGACCTTCAGGCCACCTTTCCTGTCTGGGGTCTGTGGAGGGCCGGAGCCGGCGACGGGCAGCAGCACGCATGTCGGGAGGCATCGGCCATGAGGGAAAGGTCTCGCTCCCCAGGTTCCCAGTAGCGAGTGCAGGGAGCAACTCACCGAGGGCACAGGTAAGCTGCCGTGCCGGCTGAGAAAGGAGTTAGAGACGGACACACTGATGCCCTGACCGGCACTGCCGTCCTCGGGGGTGAAGGCCACTTTAGTTTGCTGGACACAGTAGGAGACAGAGGAGAAGGAAGAAGCAGCATAGGAGGCCTGCTGGACAGAGGAACGAGGGAGGAGACAGGGCAGGAGGGAGAAAAGCAGAGAACAGTCAGGCATGTACACATAAAGGAGGCAGGCTGCTACCCGATCTGCTGGGACCTTCTGGAGAGGGACGGCTTCTTGGCCCAGCAAGGGGTCAAGGACGTCCGTCAAAGGTGAGCTGGGGGGCGGGTGCCCTCTTCACCCCTGTGTCCACTGGAAGCGCCGGTAAGATGGAAGGAGTCACGTGGACTTGCATGTGCACCCCAGCTCCTCCGCTTCCTCAGGGCCCCAGTATTCCTCTGTGGGAGAGACTGCACTTCGTGGTGCGGAGCAGGAACCAGGCGGCCTGGGCCCTAATCTTGGCCTTGCCATGTGGGACTGGCTTGGCCTCGGGCATCACATGATGCTCTCTGCACCTCAGGTTGCCGGTAGATGGCTGTGTGCACGTAAAGCACCTAGAACCAGGCTGCCCTCAGGGCCCGTGGGCCGACAGGTGTACCTGTCATGCTCACTTCTGTCTGGAAAACAGTCACACTTCTTGCAGTGGCACTGGAGAAGGGGCACCCAGCAGTCACACAGGGGGTGTCACACGTGTCTGGGCTTCCACTTCTGCTGTGGGCTTTGAGCCCGTCTCTCCAGCTCTCTCAGCCTCACTTTAAAGAGGGGGTGACAGGGGCCATGGGGAGGGGATGTTCACAGGATGTCTGCCCACCCTGCAGGGCCCCCTGGCAGCCTCTCTCCAGAGAGCCCCTTGGACCGCCGCCCCACTGCGAGGTGAGGCGCTGTGCCAGCTCTCACCGGGGCTGGGACTCAGGCGGTCCCTCAGGGCTCTCTCCCCAGGGCTCGGCTCCTGTGGGAGACAGGACATGGGACAGACAGGGCGCCCAGGGCCAGGCGACGGGTACCTGTGCACCCGGCAGGAGGGGCTGAGAGAACCAGATCTCAATGAGACTGGCCCAGCTGTTTAACCAAACATGTTAGGTCAGGGGTCCCTGGGGCAGGCATCTATGTGTCTGTGGTGAACAACACTCACAATCGGGCATATTCAGCTGTCTGTGGGGAGAGCAGGGCAGGCGAAGAGCTGAGACCTGAACACAGCTGGGGAGACACAGCTGGTCAGTGCAGGACTGGAACCCAGACCCCTGGCCTGAGCCTGGCCCTCCTTCCACGAGACAGGCTGCCCCAGCCCCAGAGGCCACTGTGTGTGGCAAGGCTTGGCGACTCCGGGACCGGGCATGGGCTCAAGGCCCAGTCGCAGGACTGCTGAGGCCCAGGCAGCTTCCAGGAGTGACCTCAGGACCTTCACCGTCTGGCCATCTGCCTCCCAGAACAGCTAGGACAGCGTCCCCTCACAGAGGATGAAGGCGGCCCTCTCTGGTTAAGACACGAGCAGACCAGCCGGCACGAGAGCAAGACAGCAAGTGCAGGTCTGACGGACGGCCCTCCCGGGTGTAATCTTCCTAGAGAGCTCAGCTGGACGGGGCGCTTGGATTCTAGAGCCTGGCCACAGTCCACGCGATTAGTAAACTGGTGGCGGAGAGAAGAGGGTTGAGAGGTGCACCCGAGTGCCCTCCGCTGGTCCCAGCGCCTCTCCAGCCTGCCCACAGCTGGAGGGCCCCTCTGTGCTGCCTACACCATGTCCTGACACAGGAGGGGTTTTAAAACAGGAAGGGTGTGCCGGCCCAAAACACAAAGTGGCTCTGTGTCAGTCACCCCGCTTCCACAGAGCTGGCCCTCACTGGGCTGGCCCCGGCTGGGGGGTGCAAGTGGTTGTGTAGTGCAGCCCAGTATGTAAATCGAGTCCACAGATGGCACCACACAGAGCCTGCCCTGTGCTCCGATTGACTCCCTCCTTTCAGGGAGGTCTATATTGGAGCCACAGAAAAGAGACAGAGAAAAAAAAAGACTGTCCACAGAGAAAGCAAACATTCTGAGTCCAAGCCAGTCCCAGCTGCAGGGGCCCGCTCTGGAGGAGGAGCCAGTCCTGCAGGGCTAGATGCGAGCAGGAGAGCAGGCCCGGCATCCTGGGCCTCTGGTGGGGGCGCCCCCACTTACCAGCTGCCGCTGCTTGGGGGGCAGCGCGGGGGGCGGGGCAAGCTCGTGCGGGGCGTCGCCAGCGCTGAAGGAGTCGTTGAAGCCGTACACCTCCATGAGCAGCTTGTTCTTCTGCTGGTACACGTGCTCCTTCTGCGGCGTCTGGTAGAACATGGAGGGCTGCGGCTCTGAGTAGTCCTCAAGCAGCTGCATGTAGGCCAGCACTGTGGGCAGAGGGCTGGGCTGGGGGCCGCGCACAGACGCCGCCCGCCCCGCAGCGGCCAGGGAGGGGCCGGGGTACGGCTGCGTACGCACCCTCGGACGTCCCGCCACGTGGACAGCCGCGGCGGGGCACCGCCCGTGTGTCACGCAGCCTCTGGAGGAGAGGGGGGCGTGGGGGTGGGGCGGGGGCAGGCTCTGCGGGATCTCCCTTCCTTTCCACTCGAGGCCCCAGTGAACCCAGAACCATGCTAGGAAGCAGCCTATGTTTAGAGAAGCGCAGGGGCCCACCCACTTCTTGCCGAGAAGCCCTCGGGGTTTCCCAGCCTCTTGAGAGCAGGGCCGTGGCAGGGGTGCAGGCTCCTGGGCCCCCTGCCCAAGCCTCGGCTCTCCGCTCCTGGACCATCCCTGGGGCTTTCCGCACGTCTGTCCCAGTCGCTCTTCCTGCAGCCCTGTGAGCCGGATGCTCCCTCCCGAGAGACTCAGGCCGTGATCAACTGGCGTTCACGGAGGCCCCTCACCGCGTCCCCGCCCCAGGAGCCCCTCTCAGCCCCACGCTCCTTCCCTCCTGAGCCCTCCTCACGGCTCCTCACGAGCTAGCTGGGTTTCTCACATTCATCTGATCGTCACTGAGCACCTGCTCCGGGTCAGGCGCTGACCGAGGTGCTGGCACTCCGCAGGGGCCAGCAATGGTTCTTTCACCCATGGGGGGGCTGACCCCCTCCCCAGGGAGACAGAAAACAGGCCGAGATGGGAGGTGTCCCACAGAGGATGGTGAAACAGGGAAGCGAGAGGGTCGTCTCCAGAATACGGTGAGGACGGGTGGAAGAGTTCCAGGAGGGGCAGAGGCCCCTGGCTGGGACCAGGGTCCACAGGGCAGTGCTCCGCAGGGACCCGCATGGTGCGCGGGGCTGTGTGAACCGGGCAAGGATGGGGTCTGAACCACGGAAGACCCCACCCCAGGAGCTGCCTGTCTTGAGAAGCCGGGAGAAGACACTTTAGGGGGCTGAGGCTGTTCAGGTGAAAGACCTCCATGGGGGTGGGGACAGCGAGAATGGTCTGGCTCAGGAAGAATCGTCAAATAGGGGACACGAGAATTTACTGCTTCTCGCTTGAGGGCAGAAGCTGCTGCCCGAGGACGGGACCCTGTGCCTCCCGTCTGCAGCTCTCTCACCGGAGCCTCGCACAGAGGTTCACAGAACCGACGCGCCAACAGAACCCGCGGTCCGCCATCCGGCCCTGCAGTGCTGAAGCGGCCTGCAGCCCCTGCGGGTCTTGCAGAGCCCCCGCAGGGAGGCAAGAGCCTCCGGTCCGAGAGAACGCTGTTCTCCACTTCCCACAAGGCTGTCGGGAAGCTCCTCCTCCAGAGGGACGGACGCTGAGAGCAGAAGTGCTCAGGAGGCGCACAGACCCTCTCCTCCCGAGAAGCCCCTCAGGCCGCCCGAGCCCTGGCCCCTGCCCTCGGACCGGGGAGCCGCCTGCTCCTTCCGCTGGCGCCGTGTGGTGCCGCCGCCGGAGCCCTCTCCTCACGCGGGGGCGTCCGCGTGGACCGCACACCCTCTCCTCACGCGGGGGCGTCCGTGTGGTGCCGCCGCCGGAGCCCTCTCCTCACGCGGAGGCGTCCGTGTGGGCCGCACTCCCTCTCCTCACGCGGGGGCGTCCGTGTGGACCGCACTCCCTCTCCTCACGCGGGGGCGTCCCTGTGGGCCGCACTCCCTCTCCTCACGCGGGGGCGTCCGTGTGGGCCGCACTCCCTCTCCTCACGCGGGGGCGTCCGTGTGGGCCGCACTCCCTCTCCTCACGCGGGGGCGTCCCTGTGGACCGCACTCCCTCTCCTTAGGCAGGTGCATCAGAATAGACTTCACTTTTGACTTCCGGTGGTGAGGGAGGGACTAGCCCCATCTTCAGAGCCAGGCCTTCCTGAAGACCCTGGAGGGTCCTGATGAAATGACTGCTGGAGCTGACTGAACCTGGGGGCCTTATGAAGCAGGGAGGGCTGGACCAGAGCAGAAGCCCTCTGGGTAACCCCGATCTACTGGAGTGGACCGGACACGCCCCACCCTCCCCTCCTCCAGAGGGTGGCAGGAGCTCCGGTCTCCGCGGCCTCTGTACACGTGTGTGCTTGGCAGGTAAGGTGCTTCCATGCCCTGTGATGCCCCATCAGGAGTAAGTACTGACCTACTCAGTGTGACCGTGCATGCCCTGGGAGGGAGTGAAGGGGTGATGGGGCCAGAGAGGAAAGGAGGCCGGATCCGAAGCAGAGGAGCCCCGGGGCCCGGGGGGACACAGCCATGTTGGTCTGGAGTGGGGATGTCCCCCTTAGTCACAGCTCGGCACCACAAGCACCCTGGGTTCAAACATTAAGACTACGGCAAAGACAAGTTTGCAGGGCGGTCTTCTGTGTTTTCAGATAACCAGAAAGTTGGCTTAACTGGAGAGCTAAACCAGTCAGGCTTTCAGGACACCTGGAGAGGCGCAGAAGGAAATGCCCCTGGCGCAGCTGTCTGCAGGTCCCTCCATGCCCTCAGCTTCCCGTGAGGGAACTTCCATGACAGACAGGAATGACACCCTCAGCCCTGCGAAGCAAGCTCTCCCTTCACACTGAGGCCACTACCCGAGCTGGGGGCATCCAGGGTGGTCACCCCTTCTGGGCACAGGCCAAGCACACACGATCGTCTGGGGTTGCAGCGCGGGTTCCACAGCAAGGTCACAGCAGTCCCCTGCTGGACGCTCCCACTGAGGCCAGGGCATCCTGGATGGTGGGCTGACGCGGCCGCACACAGAGAGAGAGTGGCAGCCAGTCTGCCCACAGAAAACAAGGCAGAACCCTGCAGGTGACGTGGGGAGAGGGTGGGCAGAGAGTCGGGCCATGTGGAGCAGTTGGGGAGTGAGCAGAAAAGCAAATTCTGCACAATGCTGCTTGGGAACTGGATGGCCAATTCACACTTGGGAAATGCTCAGAATACAAAGCCCCGAAATTCAGCTCTACCCCCAGGCCCTGATCACATCATGTATCAGAGCCTCTGGTTCAACCAACAGCCCCAGACTCAAGTCATCACGTGATACTTCAGGGTCTGTGAACAGAAGACAGAGTGGGGCCAGGGGGTTCTCTCTAACAGAGAGAACTGTCAGGAGCCTCAGAAAGGCCCTGAGGTGGTGTCTGCCCTGCTTTGCCCCGACGCTGCTGTGACGCTGTTCTGAGGCTGCAGTCCCTGTTTCTCTCAGTCACCACATGTTCAGGCCAGGTCAGCTGACTGCCACGTGAAAGGCCAAACACTGCGGAGACCAGGCCTGAGGTTCTGCTGAGACCACGAGGAGAGGTCAGCTCACCAGGCTTGAAGAACAACCCCCAGTACTGACAACACAAGGCTCCCGTAAGTGTCCCTGTACGTGTGGGTCCTGCTTTTCGTGAAACGATGAGGCCACTGGTTTGACTCTGATCTACTGTTTCAATAAACGCAACACCATTTTAGGGCACAAAGGCACGACCCCACAATAGCGTAACAAAAGCTTACTGTGTTTGTTTTTCTTCTCGGGGAGAGGCGGCGGTTTTTCTGGGTCACCCGTTGATTCAGAAACAGTGAAATCACCCACGAAGTCGACAGGGGCTGAGGAACCTCCTTGCTGAAAGGGAAGAATAGCAGCAAAGGGCGTGAAGGGGACGGACTGGACGGAGGCTGGGTTCTGCAGGTCATCCTCGGAGATGTTGTCGTACTGCGAGGGGTGTCGCTCGTAGGACGCCCGGCAGCCAGAGCTGTCCAAGGTCTGGGAGGCCGCACTCCTGCGCTTCTTCTCAGGCAGGGCCGGCGGCACGTCCGTCTGCTGCCCGGGCGCCGAGGACCCATCTGGCTGGGGACAGCTGCCCAGAGGCAGCTGGAGAGGATGGCCGAGAAATGGAGACCCAGACTCCCCCAAGGACTCCGGCAGCGGGCTGAGGTTACAGGCCACTTGCTGAGGTATCTGGTCTGCATTGGAGAGGTCTTGCTGAAGGAACTCGTAGTCAGGATCGTAATGATCTGCATCCACACAACAGGGAAAGCACACCATGAGCCCCTGGCCCCCCACGGAAAGGAAAGACCCTCTCCTCTTCCCTGACCCGTCCTATTCATGGGACACGTCTCCCGTCTCATCCACAGAGACTACCACTTTACTTTATAGGCTACACTTTTCTACTGCTTATAAAAGTAAAACAGGAGGGGAGTATGACTGGTAGGTAGCCTATTCTTCACACTTTCCCAGATTTTTAAAAGTTTTACCTAAAAGAAAAACATGCATGACCACTGTAGAAAACATGGCCAAAAACCGTATGGTGAAAACAAAAATCACCCACAGTCCCATAACCTAACTGTAATCTCTGCTGACCACTAGATGTATTACCTGCAAAGTTTTTTCCTCCCTGGATTCTGTTTTTTAAACTCTGAGAAAACACCATATAAGCAGTGTTGGCTTGGTCCACTGGTTTTTAGCACAGCGTACTGTTCCTCCAAGGGGGCATGTCACAAGTCTGATGATTTCCTACACTGAGTGGTCAGGTTGTTCCCAGTTTACCAGGGCTCTTCATGATGCTGAGATTAATGTCTCTACACAGAAATCCTCCTATAAACCTCTGACTGTGTTCCTAAGACAAAAACTCTCAGAAGTGAAATGTCTAGTTCACGGGACATGAACAGTTCAGTGCTCTGTACACCTCTGCCAAGCTGCCTGCAGACCCTCCTCCGGCCCCACCACCTGAGGTCAGCACAGACTGCTCACTTGCCTTTGTCCTCTGTCAGAAGCTGCCCGGGGCCCTCCCCTCCGTTTACAGTTCTGAGCACGTGGGCTCCCCTTGAGCAAAGGGAGCTAAGTGACATGCTGGCGGACCAACTGTAAGAACAGTGACCGCTGCCGTGTCTCTGCAGTCTCACCATGTCACTGCAATAAACTTCCAACCCCCTCTGGAGACAGTCTCTGGTATTCTCACTCTGCAGAAGAGGACACCATGGCTCAGATCCTGAGTGACTGAAGCCCAACAGAGCCAGTGACTGGCCTCACCATCTGACCTCACAGGAGCCACCGGGAAGTGCAGAGCTGGCGGTGGTGACGTGCATGCCCATGGCTCACCTAGTGTTTCACAGCTTGTGTTCCGGGAGCACTGCCCGCTGTCCCTGTCCAGAGAGGACAGCTGCTCATCCGACTTGCTGAGCTTGCCGATACTGCTGCAGGGCGACAGGCGGGGAGACTCACCGCTGTACGAGTGGCTGCCTCCCGACAGCCGTCTCTGTGCATAACAGTCCACGTCAAAGTCCTCGTGTGCAAAGTGAGAAGAGGCCCAAGTCACGGCTGGGGGGTGGCGGCTGAGCCCAGGGGAGGGGGCTGGTGCATATACTTGGCAAAGGAAACGCTGGGATGTGCAGAAACTGGCTGCAGGCAGTAACCACCACGCGCACGGCGCCTCTGAGAAAAGGGGCCTCTACAGGTGCTCGGAGTGCTCTGATCAAGAGAGGCCCTGGGCTGGGCCCCGTCTCCCCACCCTGGGAGGGAACCCCACCATGGCCTGCGGAGGGAAGGACCATTCAGGAACGGGGGCTGCCCAGGGAGAGAGCTCCTCCCTGTGACCAAAGACAGGGACTGAAGACCACGGGGCTTCTTTCAGTTTTAGGAACCAATGCACCAGACCTGAGACCGACCTCTGCCTTTCTGGATGGGGCTAATTACCTGCCTATTAATTCCAACAGGCAAACTGGAGCCGCTGGTGGCTCGACTCATGGGGGCCACAACGGCCACGCGGGTGGGGGATGGAGCCGACTGTCTCTTCTTCGGGGGCAGTGCTGGTGGAGGACTGAAACAGCAAGGAACCCCATCAAACCACACAACCTGAACAAAAATCCTTTACACAGATGCTAGGGTGTGGGATGTGGGGTTCTTGCATTATTAGACACTGATCCTACTTTCCACACTTTCAACTCCCATCCCACTCCCCTTCTGCCAAAAGCCTAGCATCTGAAAGTCCCTGCTTTTTCCTTTCATGACAAATGGTACCAGGTTCTGCTTGGCTAGGGCTAAAAGGCAGCGGCTGGGAGTTCTCAGGGCGAGGGGGCAGGGGAGGGCGAGGGGCCGGCACTGGGCCAGACTCCTGTCCTCTGGAGACAGCTGTCCCGAGGAAGGTCAAACCACCAACGTGCCTGAAGAGCAAGTTCTTCCCCTAATGGCACCATCTTTTTGGCTGGCACCATCCATTTGTGAAATTACCACGGAAAGACATGAGAGAGCTAGGAAAATAGAAAAGTACCTGTTATCAACCACCCTAATGCCAGGTAAGGGGGGCTTGGGGGGTGCAACCTCTTCGTCCATAGAGTCTGGGAGCCCCTCGGTCGACTGTGACAGGCCGGTTGTCTTGTTTAGAATCTCCATCTCTCGATCTGTCAGGGGGAGCTCAGACTGGCTGGAGGGTTGAGGAGAACTCGGAGTTACAGAAGGCCCCAGGACAAGCGCAGAGCCTGAGAGTGTCAGGATGTGACTGGGGCAGGGAAGTGTCCAAGGGGCCCAGGACACAGAGCTGACACTATGCCCTGGGCTCCATGGCAGAGATGGGGTTCCAAGTCCAGTTTGATCACCCATGGAAGCGTGGCCACAGTCCCTGAGTCTGCACTTTCATCTCATCTGTGAGAGGGATCTCTGGACTGCATGATGCTTGAAAATGCCACTAAATGAAGGTGTTATTTTCTTCACTAGGGGCTGTGAGTAGAAATTATTGCAAGGCCTTAAACTGTCCACATCACCCTCAGTAATGCTCTCAAGCCAAATCCCTAAAACCCAACCCTTCAAAGTTGTTTCTCATTATGGGAGGAAGCAGGTCAAGAAGAGTGTAGGTGGGGTCACTCTGCACATCACAGTGTCCTGAGAGAAGACCATCTTGAGACCAGACAATCATTCAAGATAGGTGTGAGCTACACACACTTCACGGTGATCTGGGGGACCATGGGCCTCACAGGGCACGGTCTGCCTGGTGGGGGCTCCCTTCTTTCTCAAGTGCCCACCAACCGAGACCGCAACCCCTGGAGGGTTTAGTTAGCACTCACCTGTCAGGTTTGCAGGCTGGGGAGCTGGGTTTCACGGGGCTTGTTGGAGACGGATGCCCCTGCTTCTCGATGGTGAGTCTGACCAGCTCCTACCCCCACACAAGAGAAACGAGGTGAGACATGAGGAGAGCTCCTCACGCTGAATGTCCTGACAAGGTGGGCCAGCTGTCTGCCCTCCACTGCCCGGAGTCCCCACTCACCCTACGGGTGAGCAATGTTTGACTCAGGTAATCTGCATGACTTCCCAAAGCATGCCCTACCCACCTAAAACACCTCCACAACGTGCAGAGACGTTTCGCATGCATAAATACACTTCCTCTTGGAAAGGGGAAATGACCAGCCCATTGTCTCGGGAATGACTAAATTCATCACACAAACTCCTGGCAGTGACTCCCAGTCGGTTTGTGGAGGAAGACCTGCTCTGAATTCTCTGAAGCCAGGACGCTGCCTACTAATGATCAAGCCTGTGGTCTGGGGGAAGGTGGTTTCCCAGAGTGAGCTGTCTGTGGGTGCAGCATCTGTGGGTACCGAGAGATGATGGGTGGGGATCTTTGTCACTGGACAGAAAGTTGAGGGCTTATCACCCAGCAGAGAAATGACTTCAGAAAATAAGTTTTTTTAATAGGAGGGGAAAAAAAAAAAGCAATTAGGGTTTACTTAGTTTTCTTTCAATGAGAATGCATTTCCCCTGACTTTGATGAGTTTTGATGGCTATATATACCATATAAGAACCACTCAAAAAATACAGAATGGGAGACTTCCCTGGTGGTCTAGTGGCTAAGACTCTGTGCTCCCAATGCAAGGGACCAGGGTCCGATCCCTGGTCAGGGAACTGGATCCCACATGCCGCAACTAAGACCCAGCAGAGTCAAATAAATAATTAAAAAAAAAAAAAAACCCAAACAAAATGTTTCCACCACTCTCTCTAGTCCATCTGCTCCACCCTAACTGACTACTTTCTCACTTCTGTTTCTTGGATCACTTCTGCCTAGAACTTGATATAAGTGGAACCACACAGTATGTATTCTTTTGTGTCTATCTTCTTTTTCTGAACAGCTTTATGCCATAAAATCCAGCCATTTAAAGTGTGCAATCCAGTGGTTTTTAGTCTGTCCACAGTGTTGTGCACCATCAACACAATTCACCTTCGGGGCTCTTTATTACTTCCAAAAGAAACTTTGCACCTTTAGGTGGTCCCTCACAGCCACTAATCCACTCTCTGTCTCCATTCATCCGTCATCTTTTGTTCAGTGTAAATGGCTGTGTCTCTGTGTGATCCTTGCTGTTGATGAGTTGTATTCCAGTGTATGGATAAACCCACAATTCCTTCGCCCATTCTCCTGTTGATGCACTCCTGGGTAGGACCTACTTGTGTCACATGAGAAGTTCAGGCTTTCATCATGAACAACTATTTCTAAAATTACAGAGGAGGCAGCAATGGAAGAAAGTGGGGCAACATGGCAGTGTGCCCCTAGATCAGATTGCAAAGCCTCTCCAACTCAAAATGCCCTGCCCAGCAACCTCAACAAGTATGCTAAGGCAAAGAGTTAATACCCTTCATGGTATTAACTTCCTTCATGGAACAAGCGTTCTTCGAAAAAACACAAAAACTAGAAAAAGGTGAACACACTAAAAAAAAAAAAAAAAAAAAAACCAAAGAAATTCACAAATGTAAAAACCAATGGTCAATAATCACTGCAAGTTCTCCAGTTCTGATGGTAATAAAAGCAGAAACTTTCAGACTTCCATGATGGAGGGAAGCAATGATTTGGGGAGTCTTTCTAAAAGATGACTACTTGTCAGTTCACATCAAAAGCCTTAAATACCTGCATATATTTTATAACAATTTAACCCAAGGAAAATAATATGGATATGTAAAAAAATTAAGTCACAAAGAATGGTCACTGCAGCATTCTATGTCACAGATAAAATCAGACTAGTCAATATTCCAGAATTAAATATTCACTACTAGGTACTGATACAGGTCAGGAAGCAACAGTTAGCACTGGACATGGAACAACAGACTGGTTCCAAATAGGAAAAGGAGTACGTCAAGGCTGTATATTGTCATCCTGCTTATTTAACTTACATGAAGAGTACATCATGAGAAACACTGGGCTGGAGGAAGCACAAGCTGGAATCAAGATTGCTGGGAGAAATATCAATAACCTCAGATAGGCAGATGACACCACCCTATGGCAGAAAGTGAAGAACTAAAGAGCCTCTTGATGAAAGTGAAAGAGGAGAGTGAAAAAGTTGGCTTAAAGCTCAACATTCAGAAAACTAAGATCATGGCATCTGGTCCCATCACTTAATGGGAAATAGATGGGGAAACAGTGGCTGACTTTATTTTTCAGGGCTCCAAAATCACTGCAGATGGTGACTGCAGCCATGAAATTAAAAGATGCTTACTCCTTGGAAGGAAAGTTATGACCAACCTAGACAGCATATTAAAAAGCAGAGACATTACTTTGTCAACAAAGGTCCGTCTAGTCAAGGCTATGGTTTTTCCAGTAGTCATATATGGATATGAGAGTTGGACTATAAAGAAAGCTGAGCACTGAAGAATTGATGCTTTTGAACTGTGGTGTTGGAGGAGACTCTTGAGAGTCCCTGGACTGCAAGGAGATCCAACCAGTCCATCCTAAAGATCAGTCCTGGGTGTTCATTGGAAGGACTGATGTTTAAGCTGAATCTCCAATACTTTGGCCACCTGATGTGAAGAGCTGACTCATTTGAAAAGACCCTGATGCTGGGAAAGATTGAGGGCAGAAGGAGAAGGAGATGAGGATGAGAGAGGATGAGATGGTTGGATGGCATCACTGACTCAATGAACATGAGTTTGGGTAAACTCTGGGAGTTGGTGATGGACAGGGAGGCCTGGTGTGCTGCGGTTCATGGGGTCACAAAGAGTCGGACACGGCTGAGTGACTGAACTGAACTAGGTACTGATTATATAAATTATGATAGAATCAAACAATGGACCATTATACTACTATTAAGAAAACCCAGAACAGGAATATATGATAGTGTGAAAAGACAATACAATGTTGAGTGGAAAAGAACCCACCAGATGGTACACTGGTGTATACGTAGTATGTTTTGGAAACAAAACACAACCAAGAACACATGTATAGAAAAAAAGTATGACTATGAAACACCTCTTATTTTCTTGCTTTTGCTTCCCTGCTTTTTCTTAATTTGCTACAGTGAACATACAGTAATTCTGAAATACCAATTAAAAGAGAAAACAGGCATACTCCATATAAGCGGAGTCAGTGTCACTCCACTCTGTCACAGTTGATGCCTGTTCCTGGAGAGAAGAGGAAAGTGGCGGTCGCCCACAATCAAGGACTGGGAGACCGGAGGAGAAGGTCAGCCTTGGCTGTTTACCACCATCTGCAAGTTAAACATGACCCCCCACACACTGAAGGAGCAGCTACCTGGCTGGTGATTACAGACGGGGTGCAGAGCCAAGAGCTGACGCAATCAGAAGAGGGAGGCTGCCCCCCGCACCCTGTCGCCTGCAGAGGGATGGGGGAGGCAGTTTACCCTGGGGGCGTGGCATCAGGGGGAGTCCTTGGAAGCCCCACACTTACGCTCATGCTCTTTATGAGCAGGGCAAGGGAAGACAGAGAAGTGTGTACGCTCGCATCTGCCAGGCAGGAGAACATTCCACTAATTCTTGAGCGACTATAATTAGAACACCATCTTTCTGGAGAAGCAGCTGTGTGAAGTCAACTAATGAACGACAGCAACAGAATCACTTAAGACAGCACACACGTGCAAGCGTGCACCCGCATTCCAGACCAAGGCAGAGCCCACGCCCCCGGGCCCCACCCCACCGGGCCCGGGCCCAGAGCGGCAAGGGAGGGGCATGGTGGCCATGCCCTCCAGCCCGGACTGGCTGGCCAGCAGGCCTTCACGGTCACAGGTAGTGAGAGCCCTTAGAATGGGTGCATCCTTGGCGACTGTGCCAACACCCTCAACCCCACTGAGAGCCCTACGACCCCACTGAAGCCGGATTTCTGGGAGGACGTCAGACTTTCCAGTCCTCCTGTGCACAGGTTAGGAGAGACTTTCAGACAACTGAGACTGACTCCAGAGCCGGCGGCTGTGCATCAGACAACTTCCAGTTCACAGAAGAGCAGCTATCAGAGGCCAGAAAGGTATTTGGAAAAGTCCCTTTCTAAATACATAATACTTCATTTCCATGTTTATTTTATTCATACCAAGTGACCACAGAGACGCTTCCATCTGAAATGACGCTCGTCCAGTCAAAGCACAGTTCGGGGCTCAGGTAAGACACACTCCTACCTGTTCTCGCCTCTTTGGTCCTGCTTGGCAGTGGGCATGCAGCCTGTGTGTGGGGAGGCCCAAGCCCTCCAGGCTCACACAGGAAGAAAACGTGCTGGATCTGGCGAGTGCCCGCCTCCGCAGCCGGGGGCCTGCTGCTCTGCTCGGGCCGTGTCCCGACCTGTCACTATCTATCCTCTGCCCCCGCCGGGCCCTGAGCGTACGGCCACAACACAGCCCTCTACCGGCGAGCTGTCCGCAGGATGCAGGCCACTGGGGAGCTTCCTGTAACTACAGAGGTATCATGCAATCACAGGGCTGTCCAGACCCTGTGTGACTTTCATGGTGACAAAAAGGGACTTTCCTCGCCCCCATCCTAAGTGGGGGTGAGGCAGCAACAGAACAGAGGAAGTGTTTTCCTTCCCGTCTGTGCTCAGGACGAGGCAGAGTGCTGAGTAGGCAAGGCGCCCGCGGGCAGCGGGCTGGCGGGAGACTCCTGAAGGCTGCTTCTGGAGTTCACAGCAGCTTCAACACAAGGCAGCCGGAGGAGAGCTCAGATTCCACAGGCCCAGAGGTGGGGCCGGGCCGGCACGGGGAAGGGGTGTAACTGAGGAACTGAGCACTTGTGTCTTCAATAAAGCTTTCAGGAGCCACCCCAAAAAAGGCCCTGAACAAGCTTACCCTATCACTGAAAGCCCTTCCCCTGACTCTGTAACTGAGCAGAACACATCACGGCCCCAAAGGAGCTGCTGCTGCTACAACTTCTAGCTGGACAGGAAGTCCTTCTGCACCC